CTCTCTGCTGTTCCCTATCTGACCCAGCCCCCAGCTCCCAATACAGACCTTCAGCCGCTCATTCTCTAGTTTAAATGCAGAATACTCGGCAGTCTGCCGGTGAAGTCTCTCCACCAGGCTGTCCCGGTCTTCCCGCATCTTCTCCTCCAAGGTTTGCTGTTGGTTCACGAGATCTGTCACTCGGCTGGAAGGTCACAAAGTGAAAGCAGACGGGAGAATCAATTCCACAGGTTCTGAGGAGCCCAGTCTTTGTGAGGAGAGGGTCAAGTGTTCCTACTCAGGCCGTGTCCCCCCTTTTGGCCCCCTGCCTGCTCCCCCAATCTCCACTCTGAGAAGCAGCTGTGTGTCCTGCCCTGGCATTGCTGCCTGTGGCATTCCCCTGGATCCCACTTCTGATAACCACCTTTGAGATTTGTCTCCCATACCAAACCCTCTAAAGCCTTCTCCATTCTGACTTCCCATGAGGCCGAGACACTTCCTGAAGACAAGGACCAGCTCCCACAGCCTCCCCTGCGTCTCTCAGGCAATCAGGCCTTAAAGTTAGGACAGAACTCCTGGCTGGGAGGTCAGGGATACCACACTCTAGGCATGCTCGTCCCTCAGGCACACATCACACTGGGGTTCAGGCTCCCGGGCAAGGACAGGTGTCATGATAGGCTTATTCACGTGTGAGCACTCACCCAGCTCAGGCAAGAATGGCAATGAATGGATATGAAAGCAGTCCACTCGGCAGGCAGCTGCCCACCTGCGCTCGAGCCCTTCGCCTTCCCCTCAGTCATTGAGCAGGGCAATCATCCAAACCTCAGAGCAGCACTGGCCCTCACAGATGTTCCTCGTCCATCTTGACCACAGACCCAGTACAGAACCTTTCTATGCCTTATGTTCTCAGTATCGATCAATTATGGTTCAGTCAGCACTGACTAGGCCCAAGCAAGCACATCATGTTGTTTTCCCTGGCAAACTCCTACTCACCCTTAAGAACCCAGTTCAGATCTCCTTCCTCAGGGCATCTCGCCCCTGTACCATACATCCTTCTATCTTTTTTTTTTAATTGATTTTTTACAGAGAGGAAGGGAGAGGGATAGACAGAAACATCGATGAGAGAGAAACATCGATCTTCTGCCTCCTGCACACCCCCTACTGGGGACGTGCCCGCAACCCAGGTACATGCCCCTGACCGGAATCGAACCTGGGACCTTTCAGTCTGCAGGCCGACACTCTATCCACTGAGCCAAACCGGTTACGGCACATCCTTCTAAATGATCTGTTTCCTCCCATTCAGGGGTGGGCAGGATTCTTAAACTGGACCGGACGGCCGGAATAAAAGCATGGATGGAGTGTTTGTGTGAACTAATATAAATTCAAAGTAAACATCATTACATAAAAGGATACGGTCTTTTTTTTTTTTAGTTTTATTCATTTCAAACGGGCCGGATCTGGCCCGCGGGCCGTAGTTTGCCCACGGCTGCATTAGATGGAGAACTTTCTGAGGGTAGCACTTGGCATAGGGCCTGGCACATAGCAGGTTCTCAAGAAATGTTTGCTAACTTGAGTTGAATACAACAAAAGACACTTCCTCAGGGAAGACTTTCCTGACCTGGAGACTCAGTCAGTCCCCTGTGACCTGTTCTCAGCCCAGAGAGTCCAGGTCTCTGCAGCCCCATCGCCTCCATCTGAGTGGAACCTCCATGAGAGCAGAGAATGCATCTGTTGTTTCCACTGCTGTAACCCTAAAGGCCAGCACATAGCCTGGGATATAGGAGATGCTCAATGTTTTTAACTGAGTGAACACACGAATATAGCTGAGACTGAGAATGACAGAATCATCATTGGAGAGTGCACAGTGAGGCCATAATTCTGACATACTGACTGGCTGGCAAAATAGCAGAGACGCAGGGATTACCGGCCATCCCATCCCCAAGAACAGGAATGAGGTGACCGGTGGGCCCGTGCCCACTTCCTGTGCAGATCAGGCCCAAGCCTCTGTCAGCAGAGAAGCCCGGCCCCAGGACTGCTTGGGGGGCAGGACCGTGGGTACTGGGGCTGGAACCAGGACCTGGGGTCCAACCAGAAAGCCCACCTCAGGGCTGCCCACATCTCGGTCCAATGCAGCCCTTGACCGGAGGAGCCCAAGTGTCAGCCCTGTGAGCGATGTGACCGCCTCGGGTCGCCGGCTCCTCCCACCCGCACACCCCCCTCCTTCAGTCGGCCTGCGCTCCCCCTCCCAACACAGACGTACTCATTCAGGACAATAATTTCCAGCTCGAGGTCCCCCTTGTCTTTCACAACTTGGTTGTAGCGGGTCCTCCATGACTCGAGAGTGGATAAAGCTTCGGCAACATAGAGATCCTGGAACACGGGACAGCAGGGCCCGTCAGCCTGGTGTGCGTGCTCAGGCCGAGGGAGCCGGGGGCTGGGTCACCCTGGCCGACCCCGAACCCTCCCTCCGCAATCCCTCTCTAGACAGCACCGAGAGCCGGGAGGCCAGCTGCTGCTTTTAGATTTCCAACAATCTCATGCACCCTGTTTGCTAATCTTCCTTAGTCATCTTTCCTACCCACAACATCCAAGTGGCTAAACTGTCCAGTCATCTCCAGCCAGCCTTCCAACCCTTTATTACCCTTTTACCCATTTAATCCTCCTCTACCTCCCCCTCCACCCAGCTAGCCACCCTATCAGCTCATTCGCCCACTCAGTGCCGTTTTCCCTCTACTCACCCACCCAGCCGCTCTCTCCAGCTTTTCCTCCTCCATCCACCACCCACTACCCACCGGTCTCACCACCCCGCCTCCGCCTCCGGCGGCCCCCAGCGAAGCCGGCACCTTGTCGGCAAGTTGCACGTGCAGCTGCTCGGCATACTCCTCGCTCTTCTCGGCTCGTTCCTTCTGGGCTCGGATGGCCTTCTTTAAAGACTCTTTGTCTCGATCTCCCTTTTGCTTCAATTCCTTCAACTGCTCCATGATGGCCTCCACTTCCGCCTTGTGCTGGTTCCCACTGCGTTCCAGGTTCTGGGAGGGGAGGGACGAGGTGAGCAAGAGTCAAAGGGAGAGAGGGAGAAAAGGGAACTAGTGAAAAGCAGGAAGGGGGGAGAGGGAGTCAGAATGAGTCACAAACTGCAGGGGGCTAGGGCTCCCCTAACACAGCCCGGAGACGAGGGCCCGTCGCAGGCTCGCCACAGCACCTCCCTGGGTCGCTGAGCCCTCAGGTCTTAGGTTAGAGCCTCTGGGATCTTTCCTTGAACTCCCAGCACAGCAGTCGGGGTTCTCCCTGACACTCAGCGCGTCTGTGACTTAGCAAGTCCCCAGTTCACAGATGCAATCAGCATTGAGGCCATCCTTCCTCCCCATGGGCAGTCAGGAGGACTGAGGGCCTAAGGGATGAAGTGATCGGCATGGGGGCCTGAAAATCAACCCAGTCACTGCTGAGAAGGGCACTCAAGACCTCCAGGTCCATTGCTCTTGCCACTGTCCTGGAGTCTCCCTGAAGCACAAGTGCTTTGGTAGCAGCTGCCCCATAATCCTTTGGGGCAAAACCTTCCTGAGTGTGATAGGCTTGGCCAGGCAACCGCCCCTGGACTGCCAGGAACCTGCCCCCACTTCCCTCCCCACCCCTGGTGGGGCTAGCAGGTACCTTGATCTGCATACACAGGCGACTGTTCTCTGCCTCTTTGCTCCGAAGCTGTGCCTGCAAATGCCCACGCATGGACTCCATGGACTTGGAGAGTTCGGATGCTGTCTTTGCTTGAGCCTTTGGACAGATGGAGAAAGACAGAGCCAGAATTTGAACCCAGGTCTCCAATTCTAGGGCGCACTGTATCCACTGAGCTCTACTAGCCAGTAAGAGGGAGCGGCTGTTGGGATGGTACCTTCTCACATTGTATTTCCTGGAGGAGCTCTTCCACCTCCTTGTCCTTGTCTTGCAGCAATAACAGCAGCCGCTGGAGAGAACACACAGTCATGAGCTCCCTGGAAACGGCAAGGAGGCCCAGCCCCGAGAGGAGAGACACTCACTGTGTGCCTGGCCACCAGGGCCCAAGGTCCCAAATGTATTGGCCCATGTCAGAGACCCTGGTGGGAAGCACCTAACATCTGTATTAAATATTCAGATCAATAAACATGTATTTATTTTGTAATTTAAACTAAAGTAACATTAATTGTGGAAAACACTAAAAAACACACAAAAATGCTAAAGAATCCCGATACTCCCCAACCCAGAGAACACTGTTAACAGACATTAAAGAAGTTACATGCGCCAGAGCCAGTTTGGTTCAGTGGACAGGGCATCAGCCTGCGACTAAAGCAGCAGTCGCCAACCGGAGGTTCGTGGACCACTGATGATCCGTGAGGTCCGAAAGTTTGGAGACGGCTGGACTATAGGGTTCCAGGTTCGATTCCGGCCAAGGGCATATGCCCGGGTTGCAGGCTCAATCCCCCCCAGTAGGGGGCGTGCAGGAGGCAGCCAACCAATGTTTCTCTCTCATCATTGATGTTTCTCTCTCTCTCTCTCTCTCTCTCTCTCTTGCCCTTTCTTTCTTTCTCTCTCTCTCTCCCAAGGAGAAGAAGAAGAAGAAAAACAAGAGGAGGAGGAGGAAGAGGAAGAAGTTATATGGTCCTGTGTTTCGTCACCAAAAAACAAAACAAAACAAAACAATAACAAAAAAGAAGTTATATGCTTTACCCAGGCTGGTGTAAGTCGGTGGTAGAGCATTACCCCACATACTGAAAGATCCCAGGTTCGATCCCCCGTCAAGGGCGCATACCTGGGTTGCAGGTTCAATCCCTAGCTCCCAGGGGGTGCATGCGGGAGGTAACCAATCGATGTGTCTCTCTTACATCAATGTTTCTCTCCCCACCCCCACCTTTCTCCCTTCTACATGCTCTAAAAATCAGTGGAAAAAATATCGTCAGATGAGGATTAACAACAACAAAAAAGCCGTATGCTTCTTCTGTCCAGTCAATTTCACGCCCACATTTCCATAATGTAATTAAATCTTCCACAGCTTCTGAAACAGCAGCTTAATGTTTCAAGTTACTAATGTTTCACAATTTGACCAGGTTTCTCAGGCTGGGAATGCAGGCTTAGGCTCAACATCACTGCTGAACTCAGCGATGCTCAGGGAGGCACTGAGGGCCAAGGCCATGCCTTGGGAAGCACGTTGGGCACTAATACATCAAAGGCTCCAAAAGGTCCTCGAGTTAAGAAACCTGCTGCACGTACGTACCTGTTGTTTAGGCCAGTTGGCAGTTCTTCAAATAAATTTGGGTCTGAGTCACTCCCCACTTTGTTTTGTAAATAAAAGTTATTTCAATAATTTCACAGAGAATAATTTCACTGTCACTAGTAAAATTCACCCATTTAACACCTTGAGGAACTGAGGGTTCCATGGAATGAATTCTGGAACATGCTGCCTTGGGAGGCATTCCTAGAATTGGAATTGTTGAGTCAAAAGGTCTATACCTGCCCAGCCAGCGTGGCTCAGTGGTTGAGCGTCTACTTATGAACCGGGTGTCACGGTTCAATTCCCGGTCAGGGCACATGCCCAGTTTGTAGGCTCAGTCCCCAGTAGTGGCCATGCGGAGGCAGCCAATCAATGTTTTTCTGTCACCCATGTTTCTATTTCTCCCTTTTCCCTCTCCCTGCCCCTCTCTCTAAAAATCAATAAAGACATGTTTGGGAAAAAAAAGGTCTATACCTTTTGATGGCTTTTTCCCCAGTGAAACAAAGGCAGGGCTTAGGGTGGAAGAGCAGAAGCATAGGCAGTGGTCTGCTCTGGCTCCCTAGAAATGTTACAGGAAAGACGCGAGCCAAGGTGGGACTGCTAGAGCTCCCTGAAGATCTAGGACAGAGCTGCAAACCGAGAGAGACGACGCGGTGCGGCTCTGGCCCTCTGGGGAAGAAGTGGGCCACGTGGGAGTGTGGAATCACTGAGAAGGAAAAGTCACAGTCAAGAAGTGAGCTAGGTGGGGCTGCTGTTAGCTCATGAAGGCAGAGAAAAGGGGTCTCGGAGGAAGGTTCAGGTGGGAAACGCAGGGTGAGCTGCTGCTGCTCGTTGCTCCCTGGTTCCTCCTTTGGTGGCCCTTAGAGTTTTAGGAGAGAAAAGTCAGATGCACACCTGAGAGGGAAGAAAGGCGTGGGTGTGATCCAGACAGAGCCCATCCCCTTTGATGGCTTTTAATCCGTAATACAAATACGAAAATTTAGGTGACAGATGGTCATGATTTGTAATTCCATCACCACCACCAGCTCTCAGGTTGGTGTCCAGCTTGGTGGCTCAAACTCTCAACTGACCAACTAGATAAGCCCAGTGGAGCAGGTAGGAGAGGGGACATCAGCCCATTATACAGATCATGAAACTAAGACCCAGAGGAAGCTCAGAGCGGGGCTGCAGCCTTCCTGCCTCCATTCAGCACCGGCAGCTTTGTCGAGGCGACCACTAGAGCAGGCAGGGGGCTTGACGTACCGCTTTCTCAGAGTCTGCCTCTGCCAGCCGTTTCAGAAGTGCTCCTTGTTGCTCCATCAGCCTTCCGGAATCCTTCCAGGGAAGGCAAAGGGAAAGCAGAGTCATTAAGCAATAAACCCAGATGGCTACATTCTATTGGTTCTCTTTTCCAAAATTACACTTCTAGTTATTAAAGTAATAAATTATATTCTCACTATGAAATATTAGTGAGCAGATAAAGCTCGTCCCCCTCACCCCCGTTCTGTTACTAGTTTGACGAGTGTCTCGCCCATCAATACTGGTTGCATTTATTTAAGGACACGTAGAGATATATTATCTTTTGGGGTATAGAAAGATTCATGTGTAATTTTTTTTAATTTTCATATACATTTTACTAATTTTCTTTCATCTCTGATACTTCCATTATGAAAGGCAAACAGCAATATTAAAATACTAGAGGCCCAGTGCACAAAATTCGTGCACAGGGGAGGCGGGGAGGGTCTGTCCCTC